GTAGGGCCGGCTGGAGCGAAGCTTTATTTCCAGGCTTGGCACCAAGGCTGTCATTAGAGCTGCCTGCTCCCGCGGGCCCGCGGACCCAGCTGTCAGGCAAGGTACCACCGCCAGGGTGGGGTGTGGTGAATGGAGGGGTGCCTAACGCTGATGCCGTCCTAGACGGAGCCCTGGTCCTCGCCGAAGGGCGCCCCCGGGGGCGAGAGGGGCTGCGTGGAACAATAGTGCGGGTGAGCGGGGACAGCAGACAACATCCAGAGGGCAGTGCCTTAGCCATCCAGCCAGCGGGCGGGGGAACGGGGCGTTGAGAGGAGAGACAGACGCCTGGTGCCCGAGGAGATGCACGCTGACATAGCAGGGCTTGGGGGGCAGCGGGCAGGCCTGACGACAGTCATGGCAGGAGTATGTGAGTGTGTGTGTGTGTGTGTGTGTGTAAAAAGGTACGGCACAGAGGATGGGGGTGGCGGACTGGAGGTGTTGGGGGATGACATTTCCAGGAATCCCCACTAGAATCCCTCATCTCTGGGCTGACTCTTGGGTAGAAAGTGTGATGCTAGAAACGGTGAGGTGGGCAGGATGCACTGGTGTGCAAAGTGTGGAGAGAGGGTAGGGACGAGCTTATAAGATCCGTGTGTGCCGGTGTGTATGTGTGTACGGGTGTGATTGCATCCACGTTCCCCAAACTGCTCCCCAAGCCCAGATACTGTTGGTGTCCTGACTTGCTGTCACCAGCCAAGACCGTGGGACAGTGTTTGTTATTTTGACCCTGAAACTCTGAGAATAGTCTCTGTTCTGTTCCTGCGCGTGGATGGCTCTGGTGTACGAGGGATTCTCGCTTCCCCTTTCTCGGGCCTCTTAACATGCATGGGATGTGAAAGTGTGCATGTCACTTTGGGGCGCATGGCAGGGAAAGAGGATAATGGTTACACCCTCTGGGCTTACTAGAGTCCCTGCTTTTGAAAGCAGCTTCTGCCCAGTGACACTTGTCTCTCTCTTGCCTTGGGTTCTTTGGGTCTTAGACTCCCTGACTCTGCAGTTTCTATTGTTTATCTCTTGTCTGAGGTGAGGGAGAAGGGTCTTTAATGGCCCCATTCCTCTCCCTGTCCCCAAAACTTTGCATGCCAAGGTTCAGCCAGACCTTCTCCTTTCAGTTAAACACTGGGGTCCTTGTGGCTCAAGGGTAGGTGGTCTTTGGGTTGGTTCTTTCAGAAGAACTCTGGAAGTATGTGTAGACAGATAGCTGTGAGGGAGTGGGGGCCAGAGAATATTTAAAAATAAGAAAAAGATCATGCTGAGAAATGTTTGGTACCGTTTTGGTCAGCACCACGCTGCCAGGGCGTTTTCCTTAGGAAACTGAATACTTTATATCTTCTACTCGCCCAGCTTTCACAATGGCTAGGTGGTGCTGTGTCGCTGGAAGCTAAAATCCCCCAAGGACCTATATGGGGTGATGGAGTCCCAGGTCGGTGAAGTCCCTGCTTACCTACCTGATACAGCCCACTAGGAGGGGACTTGGGAAATGCCAGGCTGATAATAACTCAAGTCAGTGGGAGCCAGGAGACAGAAATGCACCTAGTATCTCTAGCTGTTTAATTGTCTCTGCGTGATAAAGATAGGCTTGTGTGGGGATGGGGAGAGAGAGCTAGGAAGGCATATGGCACATGCCTGTGTGTCCACTGCAGTTTGACTCACCGATGCCTGTACTTCTGCGGTATTCATAGGAATTAACACACCTTTATACTTAACATTGTGATATCTTTCTTCAAATGTTGTGTGACTAGATGAACCTGCTTGGAACATACTCTAGTCATAGTACCTTACATTCTACTGCAGTGCTGTCAGAATCCAAACTGGCTGCCCAGGCTCTCTTGGAAAAGCTTTCAGTGGTCAGGGCTACACAAGTAAATATACAGCATGGTGGCAGCCAAGGTTTCTTTCTTTATCAGAATTTTGTTTTGTTTTTTGGCAAAGGTAATATGCTATTGTTGCCACATTGAAAATAAGAAAACTAGGGCTTTTTTCTTTCCATTTATTTTTTTCTTAATTAATGATGATCTATAGACCAGCTGTTCTTGAAGTCGTCAACACAGAGTAAATTTTCCTATGTCTTTCAAGTCAAGTCTTTTAATTTTAATGTGAGGTTGTTGGATCACATCCAAGATTTAGGGATAGATTTATTAAAATGAATTTTGAACCTTAGTTCTTTACTCTTATTATGCCAAATCTCTTTCTGAGAAAAGTACTTATGGAATTTTTGAAACATTCTAGGAGGTTTTTGTTTTGTTTTAACATAAAATCAAAAGATAGAAATATCTTACAAGAAAGTTTAAGCATATTAAGAATTACTGTGGTATATAAACTGTTTTGAGAAAGAGAAATTATACAATGGCATACTGATGATTTGGAAGTTAGTGACTTCCTTTCTAAAGTAAATGTGATAAATTTTCAATGTAATGCTTGGCTTTTCTAAAGGCTGGAGCGTAATTCGGTCTGGTAAATGGTCCTACCTTCGCTGTAGCCCTATAGACAGCAGCAACCCTTTGTCTTGCATGGATGTTTTTCCTTCACTTGAAGTAGCATTAATGCTCTTCTTTTTCATTATTGGGTCTCTTAGTTTGTTTTTCAGAAAACTTGAAAGTAAATGACATTTGTAAATTGACCTTTGAGGCCAAAACAAATAAGCTATGGTACCGTAGGAAAATAAAACTTTTATCCTACAAGGAAAAAGTAGTTGTTGCTAAAATTGAGAGAATTTCAAGCACTAAAATCCAAAGTGAACCCCATGGGTTATTTTCAAATGTCAGTTAGTTGCCTAACTGTCTCAGGCACTGTATACATTTGGATAAGAGATAGGGATTGCTGGGAGTGCTGGAGATTCATTAATGATACTAAGCTCCTGCCCACAGGAAGTTCATGGCCTACGAGGAAAGATGGGGCATGTGCTTAACTAACTATAAACATGGTGGGAAATGGTAAGTGTTGAAAAAGCTATATTCCTACAATGCTGTGGGAGTTCACACAGAACAATTAGGGAAGGTTTCATGGAAACACAGAACCTGAATTGAGATTTATACAGGTGGCATTTGGGCTAGAAGAAGAGGCACAACATAGCAAAGGCCTGGTGGTGGGAAAATGTGTCCCTGCACAAGGAGCAAAGAACAGTTGCCTTTGGCTGGAACACAGGGAAAGCCACGAGATGTAATGGGAGATAAGGTGAGAAGGAGAGGTTTTGCCAAGACCATGGAGCAACCTGTATGCCAAGCTGAAGAGTGTGGATTTTATTCAGTAAATAGTGGGGAACCTGAGGTTCCTGAAGGTTTCCTGAGGAGGAGAAGGAAGGCTGGCGTGATCAGAACGATGCTTTGGGCAATATTGTAGCATCATGCAATTGGACATATTGAAATGAGAAAAGGCTGATGGTATGAAGACCAGATAGATGCTACTGTTAAATTAAGAATAAGAAGAAGTGAGGGAATAAGACTGAAGAGGTGGGGTCAGGCCCAAGACAGGGGGTATGGTCATAATCTAAGGAACTTGAACACTGGAAGTAGGAGGAAGGAGAACAGTGAAGTCAAACGTTGGCTCAGCTGAGAGAATGGTCGGGTCATTGTCAGAAAGGAGGTGCCCAGGATGATGATGAGGGGGAAGAAGAGAACAAAAAAATTTCATTTGGGACATGACAGGTTTGTCCTAGTGAAAGAATGAGATTATAGGCCTATGGCTTTGGAGAGAGGTTGGAGCTACAACAGGAGATTTGTACATCATCTATTTAGGGGCAGTTTTGATCTCCTGGGAATGGCCAATAAAGAAAATGAGAGAGAAGAAGCAAGGGGCACAGGTAAGATGTTTGAGGAATGTCTGTGTAGGAGGTGGATAAGAAAGAAGAGAATGAGAATAGTAGTAAACAAGCAGTTGAAGAAAAGTGGTGGCAGTAGAGGAGCACAGTGGTGTCATGAGGAGAGGCACCCTCGTTCACATGGCACCCCCCGCCTGGGAGGGTCAGCAAGGAAGAGCCATCGGTTTTAACCTCGTTCATACAGCACCACCCACTTGGGAGGGTTGGCAAGGAAGAGCCATTGGATTTGACTCCTGGCTTTCCTTGATTATCTTTGAGGTGGGTCCAAGTGGCAGCCAGGCTGTGAGGGGTTGAAGAGTGAGGGAAGAGGTGGTGGTGAGGGAAAATGAAAAGCAGTGAGGACAGTCTTTTCAGTAAATCGGGTGGTGAAGGTGAGGGGGTATGACGTGTCAGAGGGATGGGAAAGTAGAGGGCAGGGGGCTTTAGTGGGGAGACTGGAGCCTGCTTTATAAGCTGAGAGCAGTCCACTGAGAGGAAGAGACACTGAAAAGGTAAAAACCCACTGCCTTCAAGGCGAGGTGACACTGACTCCTATTGACTTTGTAGGACAGGGCGGAACTGCCCCCATAGGGTTTCCAAGGATGTAAATCTTTACGGAATAAGGAAGACCAAAGAAGAGCCAAAGCTTTTGAGTTGTGGTGCTGGCGGAGAATGCTGAAAGTACCATGGACTGCTAAAAGAAGTAACAGATCTGTCCTGGAGGAAGAGCAGCCGGAATGCTCCTTGGAAGTGAGAATGGCCAGACTTCGTCTCACATACTTTGGTCATGTTATCAGAAGGGACTATTCCCTGGAGAAGGATGTCCTGCTTGGTAAGGGGAATGCCCTCAATGAGATGGATTGACATAGTGACAGCAATGATGGGCTCCAGTATAGCAAGGACCATGGAGTTGGGGCAGGACCGGGTGGTGTTTCATTCTGCTGTGCATAGTGTCGCTATGAGTCACTTCCTCATCTTTCTCCCATGGAGCGGCTGGTGGAGTCCAACCACCTATCTTTCAGTTAGCAGCCAAGTGTTTTAACTACTGTGCTACCAGAGCTCATGGGAATGTAAGGGAGGGGCTTAGTCCTTCTTGAAGTCCTCAAGAAGACAGAGGATCTTGAATGAAGGCAGAGAGGAGTGACTCTGGAAACAGAAACAGGAATTTTGAGGTAGAGAGAAAGACACTGAGCCACAGTCTTCTAAGTCAAGTCAAAAGAGAGACGGGTAGGCAGAGGCCATGAGTAGAATGAGAAAGACTTGGAG